CAATGCCTAATGCAATTAGAATGGAACTTGAAGCAGTAAGAACAACTCTCTATAACCAAATATGTGTCGGATATGGACGTAGAGCACGGATATTTTAAGAAGAAGAAAAACCCGAACCTCTCTACAGATGGGACACTTTGAATCTGGACTTGAAGCTTTAAGTCCTTGAAAGATCATCACGGATGCAGCTGAGCAAGCACAAGATTTGCAGAAAAGGTGACCACAAGTCAAAGCGTAAGGATTGAAAACAAAATCCTGACCGATGAAAGACCGAAACCGAAATGAGAATATCGCAGTGTGTAAAAGAAAAATAAAAATGGAAATGCACTTTGTAGTTATGAGCTTACCAAGCAAATAGCACACTTTAAGCTGTATTCCAGCTTTATTGAATGCGGGAGCATCAATGTCATCACCGGTTCCTCTGCATCGAGGTCGCACGAAAACGAACCGGAAAACTGAATGAGTTCTGCTTCACAATCCGACCCTTTAAAATTCAATGACAAAGCTCCCAATTCTATCAGCCATGGCGATTGCAGAAGCTCTAGATGTTCTGCCCTCATCTTGGATTTGAAGTTCTTCCCGTTAGCAGAGCTATGTACCTGAAACAGATGGAATCAATCGAATCATCTTCGAATATCCATTTTCTTTAGTCTAAAGCAAAGTCATTGAAGAAAAGAACAACCGCTGCATACTTTATCATACTTCTTGAGGATTTTACGGATAGCGATCGCGTTCATCGTGATATACTCGATCAACATCTGCCCTTCTTCCACCAACACTTGCTGGTCGTTCTTGAAACATTGACGCAACCGCAACATGTACCGCTGCATCCCGGTGGGGACGTGAAGATGGAGGAGATGCTGGACTCTGGAACTAAAGCATCCAGCTATATCCATTGCTTCCCTCATCAACTCGGTGAAGAACATCTGATCACACACTAAAGGATGCTGAAACTAATCAAAAGATCATCCAAAAACAACGAATCACGAGCTTCATATCAGCAATAAAAAAAACCTCTATTCGCCATTATTTTGCATCAAAAACAATAGAAATTTCATAAATAGGCCTTCAAAGGCTTGCAAGGTATATCATCAGACAAAGGAATAACCAAATTTCCCAAAATTAGAACCGCGCTTAGATCGATTCGTTAATATGATTATCCATAGCAGACATAGGTTCAAAGCCTGTGAGCTATATTTTCGAACAAATGAAGAACAAAAGTTCTCGAAACCATAACTCGGCTTTAACTCGGTTACTTCGAAACTTGACCCGGTTGGTTCATGTGGGCATATTCGAGTTTAGAACCTTTCCCTATCTCAAAAAACAACAGAGCGTTGCTTCAATTCAACTCCATTATATACTTTCAAAAGCCATGAAAGTGAGAGAATAAGCTTAGGAAACCAATATTCTCTTCCTCCATTGTTTAATCACCATTAACACAGCTAAAAAAGCATGATTAAAACGAAAGGGATAGCTAATCACTTACATAATTAAAGCTTTAATGAAGCACAAACATTATGTATATATATACACATATAAACTAGATTTCATGCCCTGGGAATTTTGAAATCTATACATGAATAAACAAACATCATCTTCCTCCCATGAATCCATCAAGTTTCTGACAATTCATGCTAATAAAATTTATTTTAAAAAAATGAAATCACCTGGACAAGATTGACATTGACAGAACTGAGACAATGCTGGGTTCAGTTCATCATCTGTTTGATGTAATGCTCTACAGCGCCTGCAACTTTTCAACACTTTCTTAAGCCTTTTATATTCAACATGGGAAAACTTATCCAGAAACCATTCCTGATCACCATGCAGATACTCCTTAAAAATCTCCCCAAACTTCATTCCCCCCCCCCCAAAAAGTTTTCAATCAAAACCAAATCACAAAACAAAACCCAGTTTTTATTTTTAATCTTTTGATCTGAAAAGAACACGATTTGAGAACCAAGAGTTGTTGTTTGAGCAGCAAACGAAAAAGGGTCTTGAAAAAGGAGGGTTTTTTAAGATAAGACAGAATCAAAGAATAGAAATTTTAATTGCCAATTTTGGTTTTATGTGTTGTTGAGGAGGGGAAAAAGGAATGTGAATATATTGAAAAAGGGCAAGTGGTGAAGAAAGTTGAAATGTTGTTTCGAACAAGAACGAGCGGTTGGCTCGACTCTTCGGTATTAACAACTTTTGGCAGTGGAAGACACTTGGACCCCATGACCCTTTCACTTTGCTGCTTTAGATGCATATAAAGATGTTTGTTGTCCGCAAGTGTGCCACTAATTTTGTCATCATGAAAGAATTGACAGAGAAGGGGAGTGTTGAGTTTAATATACTGGTAAAGAAATATATTATCAAAATTATTAATATTTTTGGTAAAATGATATATAAAATTTTTTTTATTAAAATTTTTAATTTAGTTACTTATTTTTTTTAGAAAAAATAATATTTTAGGTAGTGTATAATATTAATATTTTCGATAGAAAAAAATAATTTAGGTAGCACTTTATCAAAAATATTAAAAAATTATTAATATTTCTGGTAGCGCATTTCCTTAATCGTATATTAGGTTGTATTTCCTTAGACATCTCAGAGAAGATCGAGTTGTAACTTTTAAAAATTTTAAATTTTTGGATAAAGTATATAAATTGTCCCCCAACTACAAAATGTTTTTTTGTTCTCGACTATCAAAAGTTACATTATAATCTTCTGATTATAAGATATTCTTTTGTTGAGTATCTCGACTATTAAAAGTTACTAAATTGTCACATGACTATTCATTATATTTCAAACTCGACATTTTCAGTTAAAAAAAACGACAATTTGATTTAGATGTTAATTTATTGTTTAAGAAATGATAGTCGTTTGAGATTTTAAGATAAGATTTTATCATATTTCAAACAATAGATTAGCATACATCTCAGACTGTGGTCAATTTTTTAATGAAAAATGATGAATTTGTAACATAATGAATAGTCGGGTGACCATTTTATAACTTTTAATAGACAATAAACTCAATAAAACAACATTCAATGCCATTTTGTAACTTTTAATAGTTAACTCAACAATTGCTCTGACGAAGCTGTTGAATTATTTGAGGTTCTGAAGGAGAAAGGGGTTAAAGCAAATGAGACGGTTATAGTTGGTGTGATTTCTTCTTATGCTCATTTGGGTGCTATTGGATTAGGTGAAAAAGCTCATGATTATATCGTGAAGAACAAATTGATTTTGAATGTGAATCTCGGGACTGCTTTGGTGGATATGTATGCAAGATGTGGGTGTATCGAGAAAGCTATTGAAGTTTTCGACGAAATGCCTGAGAAAAGATGTTCTTAGTTGGACTGCTGTTGTTGCTGGTTTGGCAATGCATGGTTATGCAGAGAGGGCACTTTGGTTCTTCTCAGAAATGGCGAAATCCGGGTTGAAACCCAGAGATATTACGTTTACATATTTGTTATCTGCTTGCAGCAATGGTGGATTAGTAGAGAGAGGTCTAGAGTTGTTTGAGAGCATGAAAAGAGAGTGCGGAATCGAGCCGAGGTTGGAACATTATGGTTGCGTTGTGGATTTGCCGGGCGAGCTGGGAAGTTAGCTGAAGCCGAGAAGTTTGTTCTTCGAATGCCGGTGAAACCGAATGACCCGATTTGTGGTGCGCTGCTTGGAGCGTGCAGGATTCATAAGAATGCGGAAATTGCAGAAAGAGTAGGGAACATATCGATCCCCTTATTGCCAAAACACAGTGGGTATTATCAGGGCCGTGGCTAGGTTTTCGGGAGCTCCGTATAAATTCTTATAAAGGGACCCTAATTTTTAGATATATTCGATTTCGAGGCAACAATAATGGTGTTTTTTTTTTGAAATAACGTCGCAATAGGTCCATCTATAGTGGTGTTTATTAGAAAAACGCCACTATATATTTTTTTTACCATTTTTTTGGGGCCTGCGCAATTATAGTGACATTTTTTTGAAAAGATGTCGCAATAAGTCCATTTATAGTGGCGTTTATTGGAAAACACACTATATATATACTTTTTTGGGCCCATTTTTTGGGGGCCTGCGCGGTCGCGCAGTTCGCGCCGCCCCAGCCACGCCCCTGGGTATTATGTGTTGCTTTCGAACATTTATGCACGTACAAACAGGTGGGAAAATGTTGAAGCTACGAGACATATGATGAAGGAAAGGGTGTTAAAAAGCAGTCGGGTTATAGTTTGATCGAGTTCGATGGGAAAGTTCATAAATTTACGATGGGAGAAAAGTCACATGGAGAAATCGAAATGATCGAACGAACTTGGGACGAGATTCTCCAGAGGATAAGATTGGCAGGTTATACAGGGAATACATCTGATGCATTCTTTGACATTGACGAGGAAGAAAAAGAAAGTGCTCTTCATAGACATAGTAAGAAGCTTGCTATTGCTTATGGGATTATGAGAACCAAGGCTCCAACGGTGATCTGAATAGTGAAGAACTTGCAAGTGTGCGAGGATTGTCACCATGCTACCAAGCTGATTCCAAATGTTTGGAGTTGATCGTGAGAGACCGGAACCATTTCCATCATTTTAGAAAAGGCTCATGTTCTTGTATGGATTACTGGTGAGAAGTGAGTACTTACAATTACGGATGACAAGATAACTCGTGTCTGGTTCGAATCCAAGGGGAGGGCCGGTTGGATTTTCTCATCAAAATTTCAAGGCAAAGGTATCGAATGGTGATATTTACTAAAATCGGCATACAGCTTTACATAGATAGATAGATTTCGTTTTAGATTTTTGCTTGGTAAATTCTGGTGAATATATGACATTGGTCTTCTTTTAGGCACCCAGATTTACAAAATGGAAATTAGTTTTGTTTAGTTATTATCTAAAAATGACCAAATCTGAGTTGATTTTTAGTGCATTTATTTCAAGGATAAGTCAAAATTAAGCAGAAAAGGCAAGATGATTTGTATTATTAGATATCATTTCATCCTTGTTGTTTCATGATCTTCACATATAAAAACCATCCATCCACCAACTCATTCTCTTCATCGTTCTCTCTCGATCTCTCTTCCTATGTCCAACCAAATGTTTCCCCATCATTTCTTGATTGATCCATTTGTTTAGTAAGAATTCAAAAAAAAAAATGGAAACTGGGTCTTTAAGGCTAGGCCTCATGGCAGTCTTTGCAGTTTCTGGAAGTGTGGTCTTCATTGCACATGAAGTCCATAAACGTCTCCTCTCGGATTTCATGAAGAAGATCGAATTCGAGCTTGCTGGTAATACATACACACACACATACATGCATGCATACATACATACATACATACATATGTACGTTACTGCATGAATGGAATTCTGGGTTTGTTTTTGGTGTAGGGAATGGGAAATGTCAAGTGAAGAAAAGGGTTCGTTTTGCCGATGATGTTCGGGAGCCATCGTCGAACAACAAAGAATACAGGAAGAGGAATCTGAGTGCTTTGGCCATTGCAAAGCATGCTAAAGGCAGTGGTGCTGATAGACGGCAGCTTCTTAAAATGCCTCTCAATAGGCAGGTTTTGTATAAAGGGATTCTTCAATGCAAAGCCCATTGAACATAATCTTCTCTCTTATTATATACAATTTGCAATTTGTATATATTTTTTCAATTTTTTTGATGGGTTCATGTTGAATTTGAATTTGTATTACTAAATAATTTTTTTGTTGAGCCATCGAATATAGGATGCTACTTTGTTGAGTTATCTGACTAATAAAAGTTATTAAATGATCACTTGACTATTTATTATATTCCAAACTCATCCAGGACAGTTAGAACTGGATGTTAGCTTACTGTCTGAGATATGATAAAATTTGATCATAAAATCTCGAACGATTATCATATCTCAAATAACAAACTAACATCCAGCTTAGAATACCGTTAATTTTTAACGAAAATGAATGAATTTATATCATAATAAATAACTAATGATCATTTTATAATTTTTAATAATTAAAGACTCAATAAAAAAACGTCTTATATTCAACAACATCCTGTAGTCGATAACGAGGATGATAATTATCACCCAATTGGCTTGCTTCTGACTTAATTTGTGGCTTTTTGTAAATGGGCGGCAATAAAATATCCCATCACTTTTCTTTCTCTTTGCTTTTTCATATTATGAATAGAATATTAATTTATTTTCACAATTTTGTTTTTACTTAAAATATAAAAATAATTTAGAATCAAGATTAAGTTACTATATCGTGAAAAACCCTAAAAATATAATTTTCTCTCTTTCATGTGTTGTTCATCTCTTTTTTTTTTCATTTTTATTAATTGACAACGTTACTAATTTTAATATTAGTTATTGATCGTTGATATTCTTTATTTTATCATATCACAGTTAAGAAATTAACGTCTAGTTTAGACTACCGTTAATTTTTTAACATAAGGGAATAAGTTTGTGATATCATAAATAGTCGAATGATAATTTTGTAACTTTTAATAGTCGAAGGACTCGACAAAGCAACATATTATAATCGGAGATCATTTTATAACTTTTAATGATGAAAGACTCAATAAAATCTTATAGTACTTCACCTTAAAACTTATTTATTTTTATGATATTATAATGAAACTTTTATAATTGTCAAATTAAATTAATAATATTAATGATATTTGATTAGTCAAAAAGTTTTATTTTAAGTTATTAGTCAAAAAGTTTATGATTAACTAATCAAGGCAAGCGTGGGTATGACACGTGGCAATGACCCACTCCACCCTTGGAAAGCCCTTGTCGCCTAGCATTAAAGCGTATACCCATAAAATCTAACGACTCATATTGCTTATTAATTATATAATAAATATTTTCTTTTTTTATATAATTAATAATGTTTTTTTTCAAAAGTCCTAATCATACCTTTTTGACATAAAAGATAGAAAGTATTATTGCATGATGGGTTTGTCTGATGCATACAAGCTAAGCATAAGGATAGAGAAAGCATGACAAAATTGACAAATTCAATATAAAAATTATGTAGAGAATCTCATGAATATATTAGAAATTATTTTTTTGGGTAAAGTGCATAAATGGTCCCCTAACTATAAGATACTACTTTATTAAGTCCCTCGACTATTAGATGTTATAAAATGGTTCTCTGACTATAGAGTGTTGCTTTATTTAGTCCCTCGACTATTAAAAGTTACAAAATGGTCACCGACTATTCATTATGTTCCAAACTCATCATTTTCTGTTAAAAATTGATGGTATTCTGAATTAAACGTTAATATGCTAACTGTGATATGATAAAATCTAATATCAGAATCTAAAACGACTATCGTATCCCAGTTATTATGTTAACTTCCAGCTTAGACAATGGTCAATTTTTTAACGAAAAAGGACGTGTTTGGAACATAATAAATAGTCGGATGATCATTCTGTAACTTTTAATAGTCAAAAGACTTAATAAAGTAATACTCTATAGTCAGGGGACCACTTGTGTACTTTATCCTATTTTTTTCTTTTTTTAATATAGTTGATTCTTCTAATCTTATCTAATTTAGTTTATCTAGTAATTTATAAAAATAAACAAATTTAGTTGAAATATAAAACTCATATTGCAAGTTGGACTAAACTTTAACAATAATATCGTATACGAATTTAATTCAAATTCGACCCAATTTGTGAATAATTATAATTCATAATAAAATTAAGGTAAAGGGGTAACTTTTGCCCTTGTAGTAGATCGAATTTATCATTTTCGTCCCTATCGTATTTTCATATTAATTTAACCCTCGAAGTTGCTCAATTACATTATTCTATACCTTAATCCTAACTAAAAATCCTAAATCCTAACTTAAGGTTTATAATTTAGGGGTAGGGTATAGAATGACGTAATTAAACAACTTTGACGGTTTAATTGATGCGAAATACGATAAAAATAAAAAATGATAAATTTAGTGTACTACATGAGCAAAAGTGAAAAACGGGTTAAATTTATAAATGAAAACAAAATTCTCCCAATATTATTTTTCTCTGTCCGAAAAATTGAAACTCCAAGCTTACTTAATAAACATCAAACTCTTCACGACTCGATCGAATACACATGAATAAATGTTGAGGTTTGCCATTTTTATTGCTATAATTATTATTGTTCATAAAGATAATTATTTTTCAAATTTAATAATATGATTAAGATGCTATTTTTAATACTCAATTTTGTCAACAACCAAAACAGTTTTACCTATTCAAAGAAGCATAATTTGATAATAAATTATAATTATATTTTTTAACATTTTCCTTTGAGCAAAATGGAGAAGGAAGAGGACTTTATGCAAACCCACCCTATGAAGCAAAACAACATTGACTTATAATTCAATAGTATGAATTATTTGCAAATACAGTGTGTACATTAGGTCATAATATTAAATATTATGCAAATTGCATGAACATTCCGTTAACAATACATTAATAATATATATTTTCCCATGATTATCCATATATTAATTTATTAGACTATGCTTCAATAAATCTATATAATTATTTTTTAAAGTCTGTTAAATTATTTTAATAATTAAAGAAAATATTGTTATCGCTTGAGATTTTAAATTATTTCAACAGTAATCGATACGACGATCAGTGGTGATTAGTATAATTGTCAATGATGATTTTATGATTTTAGAAATTTGGAGTAGGGAGAGACATGAAAATTTGACCAAGGAAAGGGAGGTAAGAAGAAAAACATTAGTGAAATATTTTGGATCAGATATCTTTACTCTAATATCGATCTGTCTCGAACCTGAGTTTTAGAGGGAAAAAACTCGATCTTTTAAGATCGAGTTTGAATCTTATATAAACCTAGAGATAACAATAGTTTAAATTAGATTAGATTCTTGTCATCTTAACTCGGTTGAATTTATATTTATGTTATAATGGGTAAAATATACAAACGGTCCCTCTGATTATAGGGTATTTTTTATTGAGTCTCCAGACTATTAAAAGTTAAAAATGGTCAACTCAATTATTCATATATTCCAAATTCGTCTTTTTCTCTTGAAAAATTGATGATATTCTGAGCTGGACAATAATATACTGATTGAGATATGATAAAGCATGATCCTAGAATCTTAAACAACTGTCATATATTAGTTATCAAGGTAACGTCCAACTCAAACAATCATCGATTTTGTAATAGAAAATGGCGAGTGACTTAACAAAGTAACATCCTATAATCAGAGGAATATTTTATAATTTTTAATAGTCAGGATACTCAACAAAATAACACTCTATAAACGAGGAACGATTTGTGTACATGCAACTTTTGTAATTTACATTGAAGGTTTATAATTATCCATTCATATAATATCGGTATAGAGTTCCAACATTTGTAAAACTCTGCTTTGCTAAATTTATCCTCTTTTAACCCTTGTAGTAGTTGTTAACCTTTTTAACCCTTCCCTCTCTCTCTCCCCCTTCTATTTTCATGGTCCCTCCCAACGTTCACTCTCTGTTTCTCTTTGTCTGTTCTTCAGAATCAAATTAAACCAATTCCCCTTCTAACTACTAAAAATCTCCATTTTTGATCCTTTGTTTAACTACCCTCTTTTTTATTCAAGAACCCCAGATTGTCTCCTTCTTTCTTTCCTTTCGTTTTCGTGTTTATATTACAGAAATCCCAGAGAGAAAACCATATCATATTTCTGGGTTTCTTTGTTTTTCTGCAAACAATTCAAGTAAATCAAGTTTATTTTTTTAAATGGTGGTGAAGATGATGAAGTGGCGACCATGGCCGCCACTGGTTTCGAAGAAGTACGAGGTGAAGTTAATCGTAAGGAGGCTAGAAGGGTGGAACCCGGTGAGGGAAGGTTCAGAGAATCCGGAGAAATTAACGGCGGAGATTCGATGGAAAGGTCCAAAGGCTTCCCTCGGTTCTTTGAGGCGAACGGTGAAGAGGAATTTCACGAAAGAAGTCGACGGCGTTGACGAGAATGGTGTCGTTTTGTGGGACGAGGAGTTTCAAACCCTTTGTAGCTTATCGGCTTATAAAGACAATGTATTTCATCCGTGGGAGATCGCTTTCTCTGTCCTCAACGTAAGTTTTTTTTTTGAAAATTAATCTCTTTTTAATTTTTTTTGTTGGAATCATTTTTACTGTTGAATTAGATTGGTTGTTTACTGTTGGAATTTTGATGATTCTATTGCATATTTGTTGGACCAATTGTGTTCTGTCTGAACATTTTGAGTGGTTTAGCTCTACTTAAACATGATAACATGTAGAAACTGGGATTGATTAACTGATCATTGGAGGCTGAGGGATTCAGGATTCTTACCTGAAGGGTTTGTTTATCCTTTTATTGTTATGGTATTCGATTTCAAGAAGTTAGCTCTTTTAAGCAGGGATTGAACCAGGGGCCTAAGAACAAGTTTCCTGTCATCATCGGGACAGCATCGTTGAATCTCGCAGAATATGCTTCTTCTGAGAAGAAAGAGTTTGAGTTGAATGTCCCGCTTAAAGTCTCTTCCGCTGCCGCTGAGTCCGGTCCGCAACTTGACGTATGTTCCTTGACTTGAACTATGTTCAATTCATTGTTTTGTTTAGGTTTATATTTGTTTTGTCTAATTTTAGGTTGTTTTTGATTGTGTAGATATCACTTAGCTTGTTGGAACTACGAACTGCTCAAGAAACTGTTGATTTGGTACAAAGAGCACTAGTGCCGGTTGCATCACCTGTCCGGTCTGGAGAAACGGTCTCGATGGAAAAGGATGAGCTTTCTGTGATTAAAGCTGGCCTTAGGAAAGTGAGAATTTTTACAGAGTATGTTTCTACCAGGACAGCTAAAAAGGCCTGTCGAGAGGATGGGGGAAGTGAAGGAAGGTGTTCCGCCAAGAGTGATGATGGTGAGTATCCATTGGACACGGATTCACTCGATGATTTTGAGGAAGGAGAATCGGATGAGGGAAAGGATGACTCTATTGTCCGGGAGTCGTTTAGTTATGGTTCTCTGGCATATGCAAATTATGCTGGATCATTTTACTCCAGCATGAAGATCAACGAGGAAGGTGAAGATTGGGTGTACTACAGCAACCGTAAGCACGATGTTGGCTCCTCTAACATCGAGGATTCTACTGCATCAGTGTCGGAGCCAACCGTGCTAACTAGTTCGAAGCGCAGAATTTTGCCTTGGAGGAAAAGGAAGCTGAGCTTCAGATCTCTGAAAGTTAAAGGGGAGCCGTTGTTGAAGAAATCCTATGGAGATGAAGGTGGGGATGACATTGATTTTGATCGCCGTCAACTTAGCTCCGATGAATCTCTTGCACTTGGGGTAAGAACCATTTCTTGAATATTTTTACTTTAATTCACTTTGCTTCTTTGTTTGCATTTTTTCTGAAAAGTGAAAGAAAGTACAATCTCGGATTAAATCCGAGTTTTTTCATATCCCACATTCTAACTAATTTCTTTTGGCAGTGGTACAAGACGGATGAAGATTCGTCTGCAAATCATTCATCGGTTTCTGAATTTGGGGATGATAATTTTGCTATTGGCAGTTGGGAACAAAAAGAAGTGGTAAGCCGTGATGGACACTTGAAGCTTCAAGCACAAGTCTTCTTTGCATCTATCGATCAACGGAGTGAGCGAGCAGCCGGTGAAAGTGCATGTACTGCCCTTGTTGCTGTCATTGCCGATTGGTTTCAGAATAACCGTGATTTGATGCCTATTAAGTCTCAATTAGATAGTTTGATCAGAGACGGATCATCGGAATGGAGGAACCTCTGTGAGAATGAAACATACAGGGAGCGGTTCCCCGACAAGCACTTTGATCTTGAGACGGTTCTCCAAGCAAAACTACGTCCTCTTACTGTAGTTCCAGGAAAATCCTTTATCGGTTTTTTCCATCCGGAGGGAATGGATGAGGGAAGATTTGATTTTCTGCACGGTGCAATGTCGTTTGATAACATCTGGGATGAGATTAGTCGTGCCAGTGAAGAATGTCTTAACAATGGCGAACCACAGGTTTACATCGTTAGTTGGAATGACCATTTTTTTATCCTTAAAGTCGAAGCGGAAGCTTACTACATAATTGACACATTGGGAGAGAGGCTCTATGAGGGATGCGAACAAGCTTACATCTTGAAATTCGACAGCAATACCGAAATCCACAAGCTACCAAATACGACTCAATCATCAGATGATAAACCATCCGGCGAGCAGCAGACAGCAACGGCTGCGACCGAACCAAAGAGTTCACAGGTTCAACAGGTCAATGGGAAGGAGGACGGTTCTGTTGCAGGGTCCGTAGTAACCAAACCCGAGGAATCGGTAAAAAGCGAGGACGTTGGGGAGGTTGTTTGCCAAGGAAAGGAGTCTTGCAAGGAATACATGAAGAGCTTCTTGGCTGCTATACCTATTAGGGAATTGCAGGTAGATATCAAGAAGGGTTTAGGGGCATCAACACCGTTACATCACCGACTACAGATTGAATTCAACTATACTGAGTTCTTCCAACCGCCGCCCGAGACTTCCGCCCTGATGACAACCGCTACTCAAATGACAACAGCCGAACCATTGCTGACTGATGCTCCGTTAACAGAAGTTGCTTCATAGAGACTTACAGTAAATTCTAGGAAAAATGTTTACAGAGGAACCCGTTTGAGCTTTTTTCTCTACTATGTTATTCGGATTTGAGTATGAATGTTGAATATGAACATATTTTTAACACGGATCTCCGTATATTCAACGATTATCAAAATATTTCCCTGTTTTAGGAGCTATGCTGACCGATGATAAAAACAATATGATTTCAAGGATTCCAATTTACCATATGATTGCTGATGATCATTATGATTCTCTGACTAAAAAACCCAGATTTTCTTCTCTTTCCCTGGATTGTACAGAAGGCAAAGCTGAATTTTCTCAAGGTTGGTGTTTGGCGGCCTAGAAAAAGAAAGATTCTTTACACCATATGGTCCAATTACAGAGGGGAAAAAAAGGAAACTTTCTCCTAAAGTTGCTTCATTTGATTCCTTTACTGTTGTCCAAACATTCATTTTCTAGTTTACGTAGTGCTTGGGGCTCGTTATAAGATCACGAGTATATAGCAAAGGATACGTGTGGGATCGGATACGATAGTGTACATATACGGAAAAGAAGCGTATATGTCCTTGTTAGATGTTATGCATTGTATTGGACAAATTGTAGAGTCGGTCCCTCTACTATGTTATTCATTTTCTGGTTTACGTTGTGCTCGGGACTCATTGGTGTTGTCGCTCGTGATCACCATGGTTCGGTGGTAGCTTGCCAGGCCATTCCTTTGCCCGGATGCCACGATGCAGGGATAGCGGTAGCAACCGCTATTACATACGGTCTCCGGTTGGCAATTGAGTTACAACACGGTCACGTCTGAATCGAAAGTGATGCTGTCAATGTTGTCCGTCAGTTAATGATGTCGCAGCTTGATATGGCTACAGTTGGTTTCCATCTCGCTTTTGCATGTCAATTCCTTGGCAATCATCACGGTTTCCGGGTCATTGATATTTGTCGACCCGCAAACATCGTCACTCACGGAAAATGCTAACGTGTGGTAGCCTTAATATGCAGCTAAAAAAATACTACCGGTTTTGTTATTATTTTAAATAATAAAATCGGTAAAAAATGATCAAAACATTATTATTTTTATCGGTTTAATTGTAATTATTAATTACCGATATAGATAAACGTGATAGGTAAAAAAATAAAATTTTTCGGTAAAGCGCTACCTTTCACTCACACCTTAATTCATATTGCTCTATTTACTTCTCTTTTGTTTTATTTTTATGATTATGAATCACTTATGTATATTTCGGATGTAATATTTTATAGGGTAAAGTATACAAATGGTCTCCGACTATAGGGTACTATTTTATTAAGTTCTTTAACTATTAAAAGTTACAAAATGGTTATCTAATTATAAAATGTTACTTTGTTAAGTCCTTAGACTATCAAAAGTTACAAAATGGTCACTCGACTATTCATTATGTCCTAAACTCATAATTTTTCATTAAAAATTGGTGATTGTCTAAGCTGGACGTTAACATGATGATTAACATATGATAGTCGTCTGAGAGGGATAACATTTTATCAAATCACATTCAACAAGTTAATGTTCAGCTCATTTTATAACTTATAATAGTCGGATGACCATTTTGTAACTTATAATAGTCGAGAGACTCAACAAAGTAACACTTTATAGTCGAATGACTATTTTATAACTTTTAATCGTCGAGGGACTTAATAAAGTAATACCTTATAGTTGAGAGACTATTTGTATACCTTATAAGGGTAAAGAACGCAAATGGTCCCTCGACTATAAGATATTACTTTATTAAGTCTTTCGACTATTAAAAGTTACAAAATAGTCCTTCAACTATAGAGCGTTGCTTTGTTGAGTCTTCGATTATTAAAAGATACAAAATGATCACCCGAGTATTCATTATGTTTCAAATTATTCATTTTTTGTTAAAAATAGATGATATTATGAGTTGTACATTAATTTGTTAACTGTGATATGATGAAATTTGATCCCAAAATCTCAAACGACTATTATATCTCAGTCATCATGTTAACATCCAAGTTAAACAACATCCAATTCTTTTAACGAAAAAAGATGAGCCTGAAACATAATGAATAGTCGAATGACCATTTTGTAACTTTTAATAGTCGAGGGACTTAACAAAATAACACTCCATAGTTGAAGGACTATTTTGTAACTTTTAATAATCGAGTGACTTAATAAAATAATACCCTTTAATCGGGGGGCCATTTGTGTTCTTTGCGCATATTATAAATATCGTATTCTTAAAAAATATTAACTTAATTTTTAAGAGAGTAAAAGATAAATTTAGTAAATGAAGAAAGTAAATAAAATTTTTGGGTGAATGAAAGGTATGATATTTGAGGAAAACAGAAGTCCAAATAACAATATTATTCTTTCATATCAACCACCAGGCCTGCTTGGCAAAGGAACCACCTGATCATCAGCAAGTAGCGGCGGCGACAACTGCGTCCGGCAAAGAGGACACGTCGCGTGCAACCACAACCAGTGGTCGACGCACTTGAGATGGAACAAATGGCCACAACCAGGCAGCAGCCTTAAGACTATCATTACCCTTGTAGTCAGCCAAGCATACGGAACAGCACGTATCCGCACAACCTTTCTTCTTCCGCCTGGCCTCGGAGTACATCAGCTTCGGGTAGCTTTTTATTGTTTCCTTATCGAGGCCGACGACATCGACAACGAACCTCCCGGTATCAACTCAACCGATTCTCAGCTGTTCGAAGGCGGTAGGGCTCGTTGTCCTTGACGTGCAATGGTCCAACCGTAGGAAGCCAGTGCAACGGCGATGATACAGAAGATGATTCCGACGGAAACTCCGATCCCATATCCGACTCCTCTGACGTTTTCGGGGCCACCGAATAATTCCTGGTCGGAGTCTGAGGTTGTGTTCATTTCATGCAAGGGAGAAGGATTAATGGGGTATCATAAGAACTGTTTTTGGTCAGCCATGGCAGTGTGGTTATAAGTTGTAAGAAAGTCGAATAAAACATGGCATAGGACAGGCCGAAGTGTGAAACTCGTGAGAAATAGTTTATGTTTAGAACTAATTAGAGTTTAAGCTTTGACATCAAAGATTGAAGTTCAAGCCCTAATAATTTTATCTTTCACCATTAGTACGATCGGACTTTGTAATAATTTATTTTAACTATAGTTTATTTAGATAATTTTAAAAAATTGGGTAAAGTATACAAATGATCCCTCGACTATAGGTTATTGCTTTGTTAAGTCCCCAACTATTAAAAGTTACAAAATGGTCCTCTTACTATAGGATTTTGCTTTATCGAGTCCCTCGACTATTAAAAGTCACAAAATGGTCACATGACTATTCATTATATTCATAATTCATAATTTTTCGTAAAAAATTGACGACAAACTAAGTTGTATGTTAATCTACTATCTGAGATATTTTAAATTTTGATCATAGAATCTCAAACGACTATCATATCTAATACAACAGACTAACATCCAACTCAAACTGTCGTTAATGTTTTAACGGGAAAGGATGAGTTTGGAACATAATGAATAGTCGGGTGACCATTTTATAACTTTTAATAGTCGAGGGACTCAACAAAGCAACATCCTACAGTTAAGAGACCGTTTTGTAATTTTTAATAGTTAGGGGACGTAATAAAGCAACATCTTATAATCGGGGGACCATTTGTGTACTTTGTCCAAAAAAAATCTGTTGAACTTATTGAGTGGCTTCGGTGGTTAAAAGGAGTGTTGTTCTCCCTTGAAGTTCTAGGTTCGAACAGTTGCGTTTGTATGATATACGCCTTGTCAATGGTCAAGTAATATTATGAATAGATGCTACTATATAATCATCCCTAACTATTCCAACGAAAAGGCTTAATTCATAGGTGCAAAATTTATACATTTTCTAAGATCACAGTTAATCTCAATCGACAATAATCCATTTTCATTCATTCAACAATTCTATTAATGTGCAAAATTAAAAGGTAAAAATTTGTATCCAACTCTACTGACACAAATATATATACAATTATAATTATCTATATACATAAAATAGTGACATAATTAGAAAAATATATACAATTCTCATTTTAGTAAGTAAAATAGTGACCTAATTAGAAAAATATATAGATAAAGGGTACAATTATAATCATCTATAAACATATAAGGGATAATTACACTATTATCTCACATCGAGTTAGATATTTTTTACACTAAACTCGAATCCGACACGATATTATCCTTAAAAAAAACTTGACCTGAATTAAACTCGATGTTTAAAAAAATATGAATTTATAAGGTTGAGTCAAGTCGAAACCCATCGAGTCTGAATCTTATGCCTATCCCTACAATATATAACTAAACCGTAAGATTTTAATATGATCAAATGGAAAAAATATGAACTAAATCTATAAAATAGGTATAATGCAAAGACTAATACTATTATAATTTTTCGATATCTGACTTTTTTTATAAAAAAAAATAATCAAATGAGTTAATCGAAAAACTTGTTATAAATTATAATAAGTCATTATATAAATTTATTTAATTATGAAAATTTAGTCAACAAAAGCACGATTGGATATTTGACTTTCAATGTTACATCCAGCACCAACTGAGTGATTTCAGTGGTAATTATTATTTTTAGAGATTTCGGGTTCGAGCATCATAAATATAAAAGATGCGAGAGTTCAATGTTAAATAATTAAGAATTATCTTTGAACAGATAGTATCTTGTATTTATCTCGAATTAATAAAAAATAATAGTTAAATCCAAAACCTAGTGGTTTGACATAATTTGTCACTACACGTTTGACGTACTAACATTTTGGAAATTATATATTGTGGGAAATGACAAAAAAAAGTTATTAGATTTAATAAAATATTTATAAAAGATTGTTATAGATTTATACATTGTTACATCAACTATAAAACTTTGTTTACTAATATCTAATATCATCACTAACTAGTGGCAATCCCTCTTGCCTCCACCCTAAGTTGCTTTTCAATAAACCATTAATTTAATTACTTCAAAAGAAGAAAATTTAAAAAAAAAAGTGCATGAAATCCTTTGCATTTTCCCATGTTTAATAATAGAATGTATTCTACTAACCAAATATATTGATAGTAAAAGAATCGTTTTTATTTTCGGGTCGAGAATATATATTTTTGAGTTGGGTCTAATGAATGATATATAATTTTCAGACAGAGTTAAATTTGGATGAAAAATATATATATTTTTTGAGTCGAATCAAATTGATTAAAAATTTGATCCAACCCGACCCGTGACCAGGGACAGAGCCAAAATTAAATATTGACAGGGGCCGAAATATTAGACTATTTAAGAAAAATATAAAGACTTATTAGGTTTTTAAACTCGAAATTCAGTATGAACCAAGCGACCTTAGTGATTAAGGAATTATTGTTATCCTTGAGGTCCCGAGTTCAAGTACGTATGTAGGGATATGAGCGTTCATTGTCAAATAGTTAAAAGTCTTTATACAAATACTACATTGTATTCACCTTAAACTAAAAAAAAACTTAAAACTTAAAAGACAACTTCTAATTTATCTAATATTTAAACTTACAATGACTTAAATTGTAATTAGACAAAAACTTTAAGAACACATACTTATCATTCTTTAGTTCGACCCCTACTTAATTAAATATTTAATAAGTTTTTATATTTTTAAAATTTAAATATTTATTTTTACATAAACTAAAATACTATTAAATAAAAATTATATCGAATATATAAATTTTAACAGTAGTAGATCCCCTTAGCCGAGCTCCGTCCTTGCCCGTAGCCAATAGTCATCCCTAATTATATCCAAACGAGGTTGAGTTTTCAAAAGAAAAAGAAAATAAAAAGAAATGATGACGTGGAATGCGATATCTAACAGTGCATGGAGACAAAAGTACGTACTTTCTCTACGTGAGATTTGGATGGACGTGTGCGTGCCAGCAAGGCATCACGTGCTCCCAATAACTGACACGTGCAATCGTCATAACTCACAGGAAATTTTTCTATAGATAAACATGGTAGGTTTTGTGATTTTTTAACACTATTCGAATAACAAAATAAAAATAATTTTTATTATATATTAAATCTGAATAACATTATTCGATTTTTAATTAATTAAATTGTTAATTAAATACTCAAAGTTCAAACATGATTTTTTTTCAAGTTTAACATATAATTTTTTTTCTAAAAATAAAACAGTTTTCTAAAAAATAATATCTATATTCGATTTTAAATTTAAATAAATGTATAAATATGTATAAATTAAATTGTTTTACGAAAGTTGCTCTCAACCTAATATTGGGGGCAATCTACTACCCTACCTCCCCTTACCCCATTACATATGGGAATAGAATCAGCTAATTTTTTTTATTTTAAAAAACATGATAAAATATATAAATAATCATCGATTGTTGGGTATTAATTTATTAAGTCCCTCGACTATTTAAAGTTATCAAATGATTGCATACTATTCATTAGGTTCAAATCTCATCCTTTTTTATTAAAAAAATTGGCGGTCGTCTGATCTGCACGTTAACATGATAAATGAAATATGATGGTTGTTTGAGATTTTTGGATCATATTTTATCATATCACAGTTAGTAGATTAACGTTCAGCTCAAAATGTCATTATTGTTTAACAAGAAAATACAAGTTTAGAACATAAAAAATAAATAGTCGGGTGACCATTTTACAACTTCTAATAGCTGAGAGACTCAACAAAGAGACATTATATAGTCGAAGGATTATTTTATAATTTTTAATAATCGATGGACTTACTAAAACAATGCCCTATACTCAGGGACCATTACTCAAAAAAAATATCTCACTTTTTATCATTGAAAATTTTTAACTCGATAATTATGGGAAAATTTACTCCCATTATTGTATAAAATATAATTCCATAATTAGTAATCAATAAAATATGGTATGATTTTCTTGTTTCTTATAAGGTAAGTGAGTGAAAATAGTCAATTTAGTTCAACAAAATACTTTGGGTAATTTTCAGTTTTCCCACTCAAAAACTTTGCTAAGTCAAAATACAATATTTTATTTAATTATTTTTAAATGATATTATAAAATTTAAAATTCATTAAATAAAATATTTTTTTTATTTTTAGACTGCATTTTTTTGTAAAAAAAAAAGTGTTTAATGTGCTTTGGTTAATTATTCCAAAGTTTATTAGCAGGTCAGTGTCAGTGGCACCATGTCTTATTATTATTATCAAAATAGTACAAAAATTAGATCAACAAAAAAGAATTGTTTTCCTTAAAAAGAAGTCAATCGGATCAACAACTTTAAAAAACTTAAACCAATTTGGGAATTTGTCAATATAAAAAGTTGGGTAAATTATAAGTTTAGTACATAAACTATCAATTTTAGTATCTAAACTTTTAATTTTTTCAAAGCCACACCTAGAGTTTAGTTTTTGTTTCATTTTAGTACCCATGTTCAAAATTTAAGTTAAAAATTTTGAAAAAAGTTGAAAGTTTATGTCTTAAAACGGACTAAAACTGATAGTTTAAGTACTAAATATATTAAGTTTTTAACAGTAGTTACTAACATGAAACAAAAACTAAACATTATGTATGATTTTGAAAAAAATTAAAAGTTTAAATACTAAAATGGACCAAAACTGATAGTTTAAGTACTAAATTAAAGTAGGAAATTTAAAATTTGATATGAATTTGGGTTAAAACCATGTTTCTTGTTAGTGGCCATAGATGGAATAAGAGGATATAAAAGTAGATAATAACACTCTTGTAAATTTTAATTATACATATAATTTAAATATTTTTTTATCTTCTATTGATTATTTAATTTCACAACTCTTAAAAATATAACTCTAAAAAAATTATTTTAATATATTAATTAAAATATAACTCTTAAAATTTCATAACTCTTAAATTTATTATTAATTTTATTTTAATATATTAATTAAAATTATAATAATACATATACCGACCATTAATTTTGTGCTAGTGGTTCAATAAGACAATAGACCTTTGTCTCAAATGTTTATAATGGGTGTAGTCCAATGCTTTACATACCAATATGTCACATTTGTAAAAGTGAAGCTAAATAATCAAATGAAAAGTATATTATATGATATGGACCCATCATGACATTTGATGGCATATTTTAGGCAGTCTTCCCCATATCTTTTGTCAATAAGTGTAACACTACTCTATGTACCACTATTAAGTCTTACTTTCATATATACTTTTTTTTATCTATAATAAATAGTATAATATTTTATAAAATATATTTAAATTATTTAATGATTTTTAAAAGAAATTCAGAAAACTCGACGACGTCTAGAAGATTTACCGAAGACACGGTGTTTTTTTTAAATACAGTTTGTGAGTACTTAAAAAAGTCGTCGAGTCTTCTGGACGTCTTCCAAAAATTATTAGATGGTCTAGACGTCTTCCATGAGGTACTTTAGTATTTACGCTAGATGAGAAAAATAATTTTCCTAACATCATATAAGAAAATCCTTTTTTAAAGTATTATTTGATGAATTTTACAATGTTTTATGAATAGAAAAATTAATTCAAAAATTTTCCAATAATAAATTTATATAATATTTAATTTAAATTAATAGATTAATTTGTCAATTATATAAATAATTATAGGATAAAATACACAAATGGTCTCCCAACTATAGGGTATTGCTTTATTAAGTCCTTCGACTATTAAAAAGTTGCAAAAATGGCTCTCTAACTATATAATGTTGCTTTATTAAGTCCCTCCACTATTAAACGTCACAAAATGGTCATCTGACTATTTATTATGTTATAAACTGATCCTTTAAGTTAGACGTTAACATGATAACTGAGATATGATAGTTGAGATTCTAGGATCATATTTTATCATATCACAGTCATCATGTTAACGTTCAACTCAGAATACCATCAATTTTTTGACAGAAAAAGGACGATTTTAGAACAGAATGAATAGTCGGATGACCATCTTGTAACTTTTAATAGTCGAGGGACTCAACAAACCGACACGGATCATTTTGTAGCTTTTAATAGTCGAGAGACTTAATAAAATAATACCCTATAGCCGGGGGATCATTTGTGTATTTTACCCATAGTTATAATAATATATAAATGAGAGACAAATGAACAATGGAGTTCTGACAATGTCATTTGTTTTGTTTTGATTTTGTTTTATTGAAATTACAATATATATAGGGCCAATTGCTCAGTGCATTAAATATAAATATTATATATATATACATTGTTCGTAGTACAAAGTAGCTTTGCATGAAAACTGAAGCTGATTGGGGAGCGGCGTGTATCTCCATTGATTATACTTGTGAGATGTAAGCTTTCATCAATGGCCGTCAGTTGTCTTTCTCTCATAATTCCTTTTGCTTAAATATATGCCTACATGGCTCCTAACAATTGGGATCTCTTCGCCTTTGTTCGCTAAATCTCTGCATCTTCTCCTTGTTTTTACTCTTTACGTTAGTTCTTCTTCTGTTTCTTTTGTTTAGTCTCCGATGATCTCTATCTGTTTGTCTTATTGTCTCTTTCACCTTATTTGCTCCTCAGGATTCCTGGGTTTCTTTCCTTTTAACTCGATTCATGTTTGCTTTTCAGATATGAGAGTTTGGGTTGTTTTCTTTTCAGATTTTCCATATTTTGAATGATGATTAGAGAAGGATTAGTTCTGCAAATGCTAAGATTCGAGTTTCTAGATCTGTTACATGTTTTTTTCGACTGTGATTATACGAATCAGCTGATTAATCAACCTATATTTGTTACATGCTAATTTCTGAATGTTATATGTATAAATCAACTGAATTAAACTTTGAATTTGTTGTTTTTAGAAGAAATTTAGCAAAATTTTGTGATGAGTGTTTGATTCTAAGTTTCTATGTTGCAGGAGAATAGTTTGATTTGATTGGAACATAATGCAAACTCTGTATCTCAGAGAGCATGATGGGATTGGAAATCAGGCAATGGCTTCAGCTCCATCATCACTGCCATGGGGGACTCATCAATCCATTCATGGAGGTGGGGCTTTAGGTGCTCCATTGAAGCCTTTGTTGATGGAGCATCCCTCTAATGGAGATCATCTTGTTTCTACCAAACAACAACAATTCACCATTTTCCCAGGTAAATCTCATATCAATTTCCAGTTTCATCACTTGAAAGGCTTGGTTTTTTATCTCCTTTTTTATCTATGAATTTGTTATTGAGATTAATTTGACTAGTTTTATCTGTAAAGTATTTCATAAAAAAAACTTGATTAATTTCATTTAAAAAATCGAATTGATTGTTAACAGAGATTTTTTTAAACAAATTCGAGTTTTTATGATTAATCGAATCAAATTAAATTTTAACTGATTATTTTGGAGGGAGATAAAGATTGTGGAAGTCCACGTAAAATATTTTCATGCATTTGGATATATTCCCGTATAATTTAGTATTCTCATGCATTGGGGAGTTTTTAGAGGTCATATTCTCATATTATGTGTTAGACATAAATATCAAATGGTATAATACCAAAAATAACCCCCAATATTTATTGAGATGGTCATTTTGGTTCCATATTCTTTTCTTGGAGCATTTTGGCCCGACTTTGGGGTAAAAAGCTCTCTATAGATGAAAACCATTAGTTAACACATGATTAACACTATAAAATAAGAGCATTTTTTAACCTAAAATGAAACGTTGAGGACTAAAATGCCTAAAAAAAGAATAAAGGATAAAGTGATTATTTTGTCAAAGGGCGTTTTTGTCCTAAAATAAAACATTAGGGGCCAAAAGGCTCCAAATATTAGAATATAAAACAAAAATGATCATTTAGGTAAACATTAGGAGGCTAATTTTGATATTATACCATATGAAATATAGTAACTTTAAGAAAAACAAAGAATCGAAACGACATAACTACGTATTGCATAGATTGTTTTTAAACATTGAATTTTTGGTTTTCTTGACCTTACATCAACATAGAATTCAACGAAGAACAAAATGATTATGTGGTTATATATATATTGGTTTTTTATATATTCTCGTTTAATACACAAACAAAACTATTTTAGTGATTAAAGGAATGATTGTTATTATTAGAGGTTCCGGGTTCGAGTACTAGAAACTGCAAATATCAGACTGTAAGATAGTTGAGTGTTCATTGTCAAATGATCGAGTCTTTAGAATATATACTACCACTTGTAAGCACCTCATATAAATAAAAAAAATACATTTGCGTAGGTTCGACATATATTTAGTTTTAGATATAAATTAATAAATGTATGGTCCTCTTTCTCTTTATATATGAATTATGTTCTTATTGAATATATATATATATATATATATATCCGATGTTTTCTTAAAATTCGAATAACAAAAAATCATTAATGTAATGAAAATTACTAACCAGCCAACTGGTGTTTCCATTAAGGGGGTTGCAAAAATTCAGGGGATGAACATAAACCTCAGGCAGACATCTCTCTGCTATCAGATCCTTCAGAAAATAGTGCTCGCTTTGAACTAGGATTTGGTCAGCCCATGGTACATTTTCTCACAAACTTTCTTCCATAAATTTCCCAGAAATTTTTATCAGAGGATTAAAAAGATTGTAAATATTCATATATTCGTATTATGTTCGTGTTATTTTTTATACGACAAGTTATACAGTCAGTCATTCAACTATGTAAAAGAATATCATTTTGGGCCACCGAACACGTGTCACCTCTTGGTTGGTTTAGAAAAAGTAAAATAATTGTTTGGAGGGATGGAGCTGGGATTTAAACATAGGTTTGCATATTGGGTTTGAATCCTAGTTCCACCCCTTGAAACAATTATTTCAAATTTTCAACCAATCAAGAAATGACACGTCGTTATACTAATAAATTAAACACGGATGACCAAAATGAAAACGGAAGCTAACTTGAGTGACCAAAATGAAAACGATAATAATATTCGTTTCCCCTTGTGAACAACTGCAGGCTTGTGCAAAATATCCTTGCTTGGATCAATTCTATGGAGTTTTCTCAAATTATGGAGCTCAAATCTCGGTTTGTTTTTCATTTTCTCTGGATTATACTGCTAGCACATATTGTTATATATCTCGAAATCTCTTTATTCTTGTTGAAATATCTTTATATAATATGAGTCCAACACATATTCATAAAAAATTATAATAACATGATATTTCAAATGTATGTATATATATATATATATCTTATAAATTAAATATTAGACATTTGATATTCATATATCATGATATTATTGTTTTATATATGTCTATTTTTAAAATTATTTGTAGATCTGTCATTGATTGGAATCGTATTTAAAATATTTTATTATGTTATGATCGTATATTTTATATAGGGTCGTATAATGCTGCCATTCAACTTGGCATCCGAAGAGGGACCAATATACGTAAACGCCAAGCAATACAACGGAATCATGAGGCGTCGGCAGTCTCGTGCAAAGGCTGTGCTTCAGAATAAATGGACTAAAGCCCGAAAGGTACGTGTGTTACATTCGAGTGTAAGTGTCGAATATGAATATATATTCGATACGAGTATATTTAATTTGGATAAAGAGAACTATCATGGTCCATTAGTATAGGATTCTTGTTGTTCACTTGAAGATTTGTAATGTCACAAGACAACTTATTCAGGGTGTGCATTTTTGTTTCACAGCCATATATGCACCACTCTCGCCATCTGCATGCAATGCGCCGGCCAAGGGGATCCGGCGGCCGGTTCCTGAATACCCGAAGTTCGAGCTCCGAAAAAGATGGCATCGGGATGAAGAAAGCCGCTCGTGGACTGATTTCGAACGCTACCAGTTCATCTGATAGTGGAGCCTTGAACTCATCTAAGAGACCAAATGCATGTGGCTCTACATTCTCAGGGTCATCAGAGGTCAGCATGTACTCCAGGGGTGACCTCGACCACCACTTCTTTATCGACCATCTCGGACTATCGGTCCAGTCTCTCCCATCGATGATCAACGATCGTCGAGGCACTCTTATGGTTGCAACCGCCAACAGCCGTTGCAACCCGAAAATTTGACATCGATGCGGGGGTTATTGTGGGATTCGGTGCTAACCGAAAACCACTTTTCCCCGCTGTAGCAACCGAGGGAAGATCTCGGGTTTGCATTAGCTCCTATAGGGGGTTTTTGCAGCACGGGCTTTGGTTGCTAGGCAAATCATTCTTGGCTCAAGTAAGCTCTTCTTTGCCACTGGTTGAAGATGCTGGGACCTTAATATATATAAATATATATATATATATATATATATATATATATATGGATCAGACTATATGATGGGGTGTTTCCATTTGATCCATTAAAAACTATGGAAGTTCGGTTATGGTGTTTGTAATCTTAAATATGATGAATATGTGGTGTTCATGAATCATGATTGGTTATGGTGTTATGTTTGTCAACATAATAGTGTATTGAAGGATATGATATTTCTATTTTTAATTTGTCTTTCATGTTTTAGTTTATATTTTTAAGTAAAAATTTTAAATAGATCGATTTTTTTTAATTTAATCGAACTTTTCGTACAATAATCGAATCATCTTAGCATTACAGAATTAAGGGGGAGGGGGGCCGTGCCTTGTCCCGAAATGTCTATTGTCAACTTAGATAAATGTAATTTTAAAGATAGAGTACATAAATAGTCCCTTAATTATATAATAATATTTTGTTGAATCCTTTGACTATTTGTAACTTATTTCGTTACAAAAATTTACGAACGTTTGAGCTAGACGTTACAAGATGAGTGACCATTTTGTAATTTTTAATAGTCCCCAAAATTCATTTTTCTTCGTTAAAAAAATTAACGAACGTTTAAGTTAGACGTTAACATGCTGACTGAGATATAATAGTCATTTGAGATTATGAGACCAGATTTTATCATATCTGAGTCAGCAGGTTAAACATCCAACTCATATTACTATAAATTTTTTTAACAAAAACGACAAACTTAGAACATATGAATACCAAAATGACTACTTTGTAACTTTTAATAGTCGAAAAATTCAACAAAGTAACACCTTATAATTAGGAGACCATTTTGTAAATTTTAATAGTCAAGGGACTCGATAAAACATTATCCTATAATCAACAGACCATTTGTGCACTTTACCCTAATTATCGATTTTTAAGTATAAAAACAAGTGAACCGAAACCAACCAACTGAATTTATCGATTTAGGTTTAACCGAATTATCCTCTTTACTCTAATTCTTAGTTCATTCACATGCAATAATAACAAAAATGAAATAAATAAATTCTTTTTTCTTTTATACCAAGAATTGTACATTGTAGGCACCATAAATGTGAAATTACAAAAAGTACTACAAACAAAAGATCTGATCAGTACTGGTGCATCGATGAAGCCGAAAAACATTAACTACCCTTTCAAGAAAGTTCGAGCACGAGAAGGTAATACGGATGCCCTTGGCGGGATCCGGACGACTTGTTCGCTGCTCCTTGGTTTACCTCGTCGTTAACGGGCGTAATATCCCAATTCAAAACGTAGTTCCGGGAGCGAAAGCACAAATCTGAAGAGGGATTTCGGAGGTCGACCTAGGTTGAAGTGTGAGTTTAGTAGAGCTCGACCCTGACCAAATGAACTGGGGGACACTTTCAAGGTCGGGGATGATGTGGTAGCCGGAGAGATAGAACATGTTAGTCATGGGCACAACTTAATACTCTCGGATTAGTTTAAAGAGAATAAACTTTGCAATGGGTGTGTGCTACCTCTCCTATCCTCAGTTTATTATTGTCCACACTGTGATTTCTTTATCCACAAGGCATGTGCTGAGTTACCAAGGAAGTAACAAACATGGTTTGGCCTAGAATGCTTCAATCTTCGCACAAATGGTATTTTTTTGTCGTATGTGTCGCTATTATCGTAGTGGTTTCTATTACAAGGACAGGAGTTCAAATGCTTCTTATTCTTACATATGCATAAAATGTGCTTCAATATCCCACAGTTTTGCATATCAAGCTGATAAGTCACATTACATCTTCATTGTTGAACATATTGAAGGCAAGTGCAATGCTTGTTGTAAAGATTTATGGGATGATTATGGGGTTTATAGATGCAAGGATTGCACATTTTGTTTGGATGGGAGATGTTTGACCATACCACGCACTGCTCGGCATAAGCGTGATCAACATTCTTTGTCGCTTGCTTATCAAGATCCTGACGACTATCCACTACGACACTATTGTGACATTTGTGAGGAAAGAAGAGATTCATGGAAATGGTATTATCATTGTGAAAGTTGTGACAATGCTTTGCATATCAAATGTGTTATCGGGAAATATGTTATCGGGAAATATTCATTTATCAGAGTCGGAAGTAAATACACATATCAAGATCATCCGCATCCTCTCACTTTCGTCAGGAAGATGCATTACTACCCTGAATGCAATGACTGTGGTGAGCCGTGCCAAGATCTAGCCCTCGAGTGTGAGGAGCATGGATGCAAATATATTGTTCATTGGACCTGCATTCTCTATGGCGGAGCTGATAGCGGCTGTGAAACTAGTTGTTATATTGGCAGTGATACCGGTAGTAGCACTCCATTGGTAGTGACTGCAACACTGGTACTGATAGCGGCAGCGACACTGGTTGCGATAGTGGCGGTGGTACTGATAGTGGCAGCGACACTGGTTGGGATCTTGGCGGTGATACTTTTAGTGGCATTGACATTGGTAGTGGCTACAACACTGGTACCAGTGGCGAATGATGTATTAAACCATTCAACAAGAGAACTCGGCGTCGGAAAACGGAGTGGTTTTCTCGGTCTTCGTATTACGTTTTGTGTAATCAGCAGTGGTCTTGTAAGTCGTATTGTTTTCTTGTTCTGGTTTAGATGTAATATATGGTTATTTGGTTCATAAATGCTAGATGTTATAACTCTGAATTTGGTTTATTATTGTTCAATCTTGTAAGTTGTATTGTTTTTCTTTGTTTACTGACGAGATTTTAAATATGGCGACTCCATGTGGGATTGATGCTCTTTCATGTCTGAAGTTGAAGCATAGAGTGCTCCTCGTAAATTAGTGAAGACTTAGTAGGTATAATTGACATGTAATAAAGTCTTATATACCATACGGTCATTTTTCGCATTATGTTTTGGTTTTATCTTGATCATTGACTGTCAAAAATTAACAAAACTGTATACCTGAAGGTGTGAATTGATCATTACACCCGAATGCGTAAAATGACCATATGGTATATAGGACTCTATAACATGTCAATTATACTTACTGTGTGGTTTACTCATATAAGGAGGAGGAGGATTTAAATATTCCTCACCCCAGACCATGCAGTATTCAATGTTCAAGTTGCCAGTGTGAAACAGACAGTTGAATCAGATTCCAATAAAGGATTATGCTTTCATACGCTTATTTTGAGGCTGGCCGGAGTTGGTGCCTGTAAGTGAAAAATTTTGGATCTTCGGAGAGACGCAGAGAAAAAAGGAAAATGGCGGAGCTTCACCACATGAGCCATCACCATGCACTTGTATTCAACGAAGACACCACAGGTACAATCGGCGCCACATACAACTGCGCTGGCTGCACCAAACCGATGTCGGGTTCGAGCTACGGCTGCACGGAGTGCGGGTTTTACCTCCATGAAAGATGTGCGGCGGCGCCCGCGACCACCCTCTTCGTCTTCTTCCACCATCTCAACAGTCAGAAAACGGTGTTCATTGCAAAGTTTGATACAAAGAGGTTAAGGGGTTTGTTTATCATTGTTCTTCTTGTGAAATTTACCTCGACATTGATTGCGCTTTGCTTCCGTGCTACACTAGTGTTGGAAACTGGTCGAGACCCGACATGCTGCCCACCCACATCCTTTGGTTTCCATTAATCCAATCGGATGTTTTTACTGCACGGGTTGTAGAGACCCTTTGAAAATAAACGATGCTTCGTACGCTTGCTTTGATTGTCAAATGTTCGTCCATAAAAAATGTCTTGAACTACCCACCGAAATTTGCCACCCTTACCACCGCTGACACCGTCTCGTTCTTCTTTTTTCTCCACCAATGTTGTATTGGGAAAGAGAAGTTTGCAGCTTTTGCTACAGAGAGCTTAGGGGATTTGTTTATCATTGTTCTTCTTGTGGAGTTCACCTTGACATAAACTGCGCTCTCCTTCCGCAACACAGTGGTACTGTTGGAAACTTCAACGAGCTTAGCCATGTTGCTCACTCACATCCTCTCAATGTCAATGTCAATGTCAATGTCAAACCCATATGCCCATTAATCCAGCAGGGTATCTCAAGTGCAATGGTTGTTTCTGAAAAATAGACGAGGCTTCGTACGCTTGTTTCGATTGTCGAAAGCTCTACCATAAAAAATGTCTTGAACTACCCACTTCAATAGAGCACCCTTGCCACCGGAAACACCACCTTATGCTTGATTTCAATGGTGCCGACTCTGTTTGCAATCTGTGTCGGAGAAGACATCGAGGGGAATTTTTTTCTTTGTGTCCCTTGCAAGGTCAGCATTCATGCCGGATGTGCTTGGCCACCGCCCGTTATCGAAGATAAATCTCGCCATGATCACCCCTTCACTTTGTTGTTAGGACCAAATAATCCCTTCTTCTGTAACGCATGTGGCGACCGAGGAGATTATGTCTCCTATATCTGTTCTACCTGCAACATTCAAGTTCATAAAGATTGCACTTCATTGCCGCGTCACATTACACTTGGTCTCCATCCCCATCCCATTTCCCACTGCTTTTTCCTTTGTCTTGATCACAATGATTCTAGACCTTGGGACTGTAAAATCTGTTTCGAAAAAGTAAACATCGAGCACGAGAGTTACTATTGTTCTCGGCCAAGTTGCGATTTTGTTATCCATGTCCGGTGCTCCATCGAGAAGAAGATTTCATATGGTGTGTTTGAGGTTGAAAATCTAGACGAATTTAAGGGACCCGATCCGCTGTACGAGCCCATGAGATGCATCATTCGTATAGAATATGTTAGTCATGAGCACAACGTGGTACTCTCAGATGAAATTAAGGATAATAAGTTTTGCAATGGGTGTGTGATACCTCTCCTATCCTCATTTGATTATTGTCCACACTGTGA